TGAGTGGTTCAGCTGTATTCACCTTTTGGACTAGATCCTGTGCTCCACTTAGGACTACATCATGAATTGCCTCTCCCCCTTGTGGGTTCCAGGACTGTCTGCTCCAAGAAGAGCAGTCATTATTGGTGTTTCTCAAAAATCTTTGAGTGTTATAAAGTTTAGTCGTCTAAATCTAATTATACTGGCAATATCCGTGAGTAACAATAGCCACATACCCTGCTGCCTAAACTGGACATCCCAAACAAACAACTTCCTTACTATTAAAAAAAACCCAACCTGAAAGTCAGCAGACTCTGGCTAAAATGTAAACACTGCCCAGTAATTAACAATGGCAACTGACAGAACCTCAAACCATGGACTATGAAAATTGCTCAGTCAATGAATTACACTAGTGTACACAAATATAGAATTTAACTCCATATGTTCAATATTGCCTGAGCAGAAAAAGTGATTTGCTATATTACCAGTTCCTACAATAATCAGAGTTGAATTGAACTGATTTTATTTTGTTCAGCCCTCAAAATTCAAAAGATCTTGTAAATTTTTAGGTTCCGGATTACAGCAAAAGCAAACAAGTGTACCTTCATGATCTTTATATAAAACATTTTGAGTCAGTAGTTAGGGTAATGCTCAAAACATCCATTTTCTAATGTGGAGGTTAGAAGTTCTTTTTTTCATGTAGTTTGTGTGGTGGTTCTTAATAGGCACTCCGTATTTTAACTGATTTTATAGCTAATATTTACTAAAGTGTTATTGAAATCAGTTGTATGCAGTACTGTTGTAGCTGTGTGGGTCCCAGGAGAGTAGAGGGACAAAGCAGGTGAGATAATATCTTTTATTGGATCAACTTCTGTTGGTGAGAGAGATGAGCTTTCCAGTTTACACAGGTGAGCTCTGTATAAGCTGGAAAGCTCGTCTCTCTCACCAACAGAATTTGGTCCAATAAAAGATATTACTTTACACACTTTGTCTCATTGATAATTTTAATTTGTAAAGTACTCTTGGATAGATATGTACAAAATACAGTATATATTTTAACATGCTAATTTTTATACAGTATGTGAAACTTTACTGATTTGGAGTGAAATTGATTAGCACCTCAACCACAGGCTCAAAATGTTCTGCAGCATGCCAAAGAGAAGAATCTGAAACTCAACAGGAAATAAATTCCAGATTTCACTGAATGAGTAGAACACACACTCAGCAACTGTACAAATGAAGACTCCAAAACAAAGAAACCTCAAAGATTCATGGGCATGTTAATCTAAGCATATTGATCCCAAATTTGTTACAGCTAAGTGCTCCACTCACAATGCCGAGTGAGGATAGTTCAGAATGACAAAAAGATGATTGGCAAAACAAGAGCTTTTGGGAATGAAAATAACTTGTTACAGTCACATCTTCACTCAAATACTCTGAGATCAGCAAAGAACCTATGGTCTCAGTTGATTTAAACTGACATGGGTAAGGGGCCTGTCCTGCAAGCAGCGTAGCAAGCAGGTGCCTGGGGCAGACAATGAAGAGGGGGGCGGCACGTCCGGCCGTTTGGCGGCAATTCGGCGGCGGGGCCGTCACTCCCTCTCGGAGCGAAGGACCTGCCGCCGAACTGCTGCTGTAGAATGAAGCGGCGGTAGAGCTGCCGCCGATTGCGGCTTTTTTTTTTTTCCTGCTTCGGGGCGGCAAAAACACTAGAGCCGGCCCTGCCTGCAAGATCAAGCACTTGCTTCTAATGCACTGGCTCACCTAAAATAGAACTGTGCCCAGATTGAAAAGAAAAGCTAGCAATTTTTTTAGGTAGTGAGCTGTTTCATGAATGTTTATGGGAAAAATAAGGCTAGGTAGAAACCGATCATAAGCCATTATTAATCACAATACAGAAATTATTGCACAAAACGCTGCCTAGACTTAAAACAATTATCACTAAACTCCTTGTCCAATCTGAAATGTGGGACTGGAAAGGCCTTCTTAAACCAGACATGTTTTTAAAGGAATTTGAAGTAATAACTCACACAACCCATTTCCAGAACAGTATTTGAGAAGCTAAAACAAGAAACACAAAATGCCTCAGCTGAGCCTTACAACAACCTCAGAGAATAAATTTAGATTGATGACCTACAGAAAAAGCGCAGTCACCTCCAATCATACTTTTCTGTGGGTACTGTAGAGATTAAATTGTTGCATTTGATGGATTTCTCTACAGATGACATTTCATAATACTTACAGCAGGAGGCTAGAATCAATATTTAGCATTGTAAGAATACCACAATGCGTATCACAATTCTTTATTAAATCACCAGTTCTGAAAATTATGGGTAGGGCAAAAAACTTGGTACCAACCTCTTGAACCAGACAGTTAAGCCTTAAGTCGTTACAAGCAGCAATATGCCAGCAAACTAAAACAGAAGAAATACTATAATGAGAATGCCAAACAGGGTATCATTACTGCAAGTGAAAGAGAAGGTTAAATTTAAAACTTGCTAAGGTAATACCTATATCATTTGGACCAAGATCATGCATCGTACCCAATTGTAACAATGAAAGTCTGCATCCCAATAAACAAAACATAACTTGGAGGAAACTCTTAGCATTCACTATTGATACTGTAAGAGGCAGGATATTGGGCCAGGCGGACTACTGGACAACATTAGAGCTCAATCCTGCAAGGTGCTGAGCGCTCTGGGCGTGATCCAGCAAAGTGCTTAAAGCATACTGTATGTTAAGCCTCAAGCACATGAATAGTCCCATTGACATTAATGAGACCACTTGGTTTTATCTAATACATAACCTTTGCCTGCATTAATGCTTAATTTGATATTGGAAAATGAGGAAGGTTATTCAAATGATTGTACTTTGATGGCTTGTTATTGGAGCTATGTAGAAAAAGGAAAGTTTAAAAAAGGATTAAATACAATATTTTCTAGGGATTTAAATAAAATAAATTGGCTTAACATAGCATGACAAACTTAATTATAAGGAACATTTTCCTCGTACAGTAATTCACCCTCTGCAGGGCATTATATACCGGTAATTAATCTGCAGAGCATAAAAACAAATGTAGGTATAAAAAAGCCCTAGTGCTTTCCCCCAGGTTAGTAGGGGGTATATCTAGTTTGTTTTAATAAAATAACCAGATTCAGTGCACTGAAGAAATGAGATTTTTTGCAAGTTATGTCATACATTTTCATTATGATTATTTGTGACAATGTGCTCAGCCCTGTGCAAGGCACAGATATTGAGACCAGTCTCTACCCAAGAGAGTTTACAGTGTAGATTAGGTTTGTTCAGACAATGCAGACCAAAGCAACAGCAGCAAGGAACTCCCAGGTCATGGGGGTGGGAGAGACTTATTTCTATTTTATTGAGCTACTGTTGGAATTTTGCAAAACTCACATGCTTCCTAGGGGATCTTATTTTTCTATAGTTGTAGTAGTTTCATGACTTTCTGTTTTTTCTCCCTTTGTTAAATTCGTAACTCTGACCCACAGTTCACCCATTGTTCATTAGTGTGACACTAACTGAATCCACTAACTACATGCAAGTGAAGTTGAATGAAGTTTTAGCCCTGTCTGTATTCATGAGCTTGAGAGAACTGAGATAAGTTTTCTTTGAACGGTAATACCCAGGTGGACTAATTAGACATTTCAAAGCAGAAAGGAATGCAAATGCAAATACTATTCTGAGATTAGTATCACAGAGAGTAAAGTCACTTCTGTAAAATCCTGGGGGAGCTGGACTTCACTAAACTGACAAATGCCACCAAGCAATAAGAAAATGAACTAGACCTCTACCCTGATATAACGCAATCTGATATAACGCGGTAAAGCAGTGCTCCGGCAGGGGGGTGGGAGGGCAGGGCTGCGCACTTCAGCGGATCAAAGCAAGTTCGATATAACGCGGTTTCACCTATAACGCAGTAAGATTTTTTTGGCTCCCGAGGACAGTGTTATATCGGGGTAGAGGTGTATTTGAGGATGCACTCTTCATAAATAAAATTAAAATGAGAGGCAACAGGTTGAAACTACTTTCACATGACACTGGAATGAAAGAGGCAAGTTGGGGGAGGTAATATCTTTTATTGGACTAACTTCTGTTGGTGAGAGAGACAAGCTTTCCAGCTGCATACTGGAATGAAACTTTGTGACCTGTCTATAATGACTTTGCCAAATAAGACACGTAGTGTGCAAATAGTAAAGGATACAGGGCTTTTTTCTTAGCAACCTTTATGTGCTGTTGCATATTTCTCTGCAAAGCATATTTCAATTAATTTACAAGAGTAAAGTACAAAGATTGTTTTGGAACCCCCAATCCATTTTCAACTCTCAATAATGGGTGTTTTGTCTTGAATGTGTGATCTCGAGGGGCAGAGTAACTGTTTGTTGCTATTTGAAATTGAGAAATTGTTCACTAGTAAAAGGGGAAGCATAATAGAGAAAAGAAATAATGGGTGTACAATGAAGTCGCACTGCTCTAACTTATGCTACCTTCTCATCTAAGAGCTAGAAATAATTGACTTTAATAAGAGTTGCACCTGGTTATGCCTGGACCCAACACTGTTCCTACAGAATGCAAAACTGATATATGATGGCAGCTCCCTCCTCCTGCTCCCACCGAGTGTTTAAGTCCCTTCTGGTCCTCCCCTCCTATATCATGCTCCTGTTGCCCCATCACCTCCTAGCCAGTTATCAGTTTTCCCCTCCTGTGGTTTTCCTGAAGTGCCTAAAATTGTGGACTAATAAGCAGAGGAGCTCGAACAGGCATGGAAATGGCTATTTTCTGGATTATGCAGCATCAAGAGCTGTGCAGCACCTTGGCAAAACAATGTTATGTTACCATTTGTACAGCCACATAACGGCATTGCGCATTGGACCCTGAACATAGTTAGCCTGAACAACCTACTAAAGAAGGATGCACTAAGATGAAAATGCTAGCATTACACAGGATAATAAAATATCTGTATGTCAGAGATACTCGACCTCAGACATTATCTTTGCTTATTTCAGGACTGTTTCTGAAGCGCAGTCCTGCAAGAAGAAAATCATTTTGGTTTAAGTTGAACATTTGTCTCTAGCATTAAGACAACAGCTATGCCAGTGCTATCAGAAGATTCAGGTAATTGGTCTGCATGCTTTCAATTTAAGAATGGCTGAAATCCTAGAATGTTCTCACACAAAAGACTATCTGTAATTTAATTTGTTAAATTAGAGTTGAGATTGTACAAATTCATTTCCCATCAATGCAAGTACTAAAAATCAAGGATATCCCAGTATGAGTGGGACTGGATAAAGAGACGGATTTCAGGAGGAACATAGTTTGGTGACACACCTGGAGTTCAGTAATGTAATCTGGTGGCCAGGCTCCTATTGGACAAACATAGGCCTGTCCGCATGTAGCACTGTTCTCTATGCATGCACAATAAAGATCATTTTCCTACAGTTCTGATACTTTTTATGTCACTTCTTGCTACCCAGATAAATAGCACCTGTTAGGACAATATTAGCAGCGTCAGCTAATAGGAGCTGACAGATCATGGCATATCCATCCATCAGCTCAGTTGGTGCAGACTTCTAAAAGCATTATTTCATTAACTAGCATAATGGGTTTCAGGAAGGCAACATGCAAATGTCCGGTATGATATTTCTTTCCCCTTCCTGTGTCTCAGCTTACCTTTCTGCTATGGTACAGACCAGAGTTTAATCTTCAGAAATCTGTCTACATCCATTGTACAGAGTTAAATCAGATAGAAGGAGAGTGACAATCTCTAAAGGAAAATTGTTACTGAATCTCTGAATAAATGAATGCATAAGTGTTTACTTATTACCCTTGAAACAACTGTGAACGTCAACTCCTTTAAAGATAAACACTCGCAGGGTTTTCCCCCTAAGTTTAATACTTGATATGATCACAAATTGAAAAGCACATATCTATGTACACTTTTCTAGGAGGATTTACCTTTCTGTCTGTGGAGTGGTGTCCAAACCCTTTGTAGGACACATAAGCTCCTCAAAGTCTGGGAAACAAGTGATAGCTCCACAGTCTCTTTCAAACTCCCTTTGAATCTCTGCAACAACGTCTGCAATTTGCACACCCTGCAGAAATTCTAATGTTCTCCTCCAGTGAAGTAAAGAAGCCTGCAGTCTGAATCTAAAACTGGCAAAAATCCCTGGACTTTAGTCCTTACAGCAAGCCAGCCTTGCGTTTGCACTGTTTCACCACTGAGTTTTCCATGGTTCCCATTCCTCCTCTTTATAAACTCCTCCCCCTCCCAATTAGTTCCACTCTCAGAGAGTGACTCTGGGCGTGTCCTGCCAGCCTGCTTGCCTACAATGGGATTAACATTCAAACAGCTAATGGGTACACCTAATGCCCACCACAACCAATTTCTTGATGATTCTGGCCCCCGGGGTATGTCTATACTGCAAGTGGAAGCATGCCTCCCAGCCTAGGTTGGCAGACCTATGCTAGCTTTATTTGAGCTCGTGTGCTAAACCTGGCAGTATGGTTGTTGCAGCATTGGTGGCAGCTCAGGCTAGTCACCTGAGCTCAAACCTAGAGGGCTAGGTGGGCTTGGACTCAGGTTCTAGCTCAAGCTGCCACCCCGCTGCAACCTCCACAATGCTATTTTTAGCATGCTCTCAAGCAGAGTTAGCACAAGTCTGCCTGGGCGGGGAGGCATGCTGCCAGCTGCAGTGTAATCATTCCCAAAGAGTCCCCCCATTGCTCGATTCTTTAGTGGTTATTAATTATTATTGATTTCCCTTGAATTACTAATTTAAAGAGTTGGGGATTATAGGTTTCCAGTCCCAGAATCAGGCACAACAGAAGCAAAGTTATCAAGTTTGGGTTTCCCAACCAGACACTGATGTGCACAACAATGACACTCACTCTGAGGGCAAAGCAAAACTTTACTCATTGGGCTAATAAAACGACACCTCTACCCTGATATAACGCATTAAAAACACAACTGTTCCAAACCACATACAAAGATAGTAGGAATATAAAGTTAAGCTGATATTTTATACCATTCCTTACTCACACCCTTAGGAATCTGGTGGTAAGAGACAAGCGGTCCTCTCCTCTGTCCCTGGCATGCCAAATAAGTTCGATGGTCCAGATCTCTTTGCCATGGTGGTCTGGCCTATTATAGGGCCTGATATTTGCCATGAATATTCATACAAATGCTCATCTTCCTTTGCCCATATTGAACTTCCTCACCCTAATAATGTTGGGGTATCCTTATCCTATATTGGTTAGTATATTAATGATTTTAACTTATCATGTACGTCAATTTGTTGCCAAGGCAAGTTCATGGTTAAGCATCTGTCAGCATTTTTATCCTAAAATACCCAAGCCTAGCATCAGTTCAGTGTTCCTGGTATCGTTTTGTACAAACTGCCCCCTCCAGCACAATGTTCCCAGTTCCCCAAAACCCAGGATCACTGTTGGGCCACTTACTTTTGCTAAGGATCATAGGCCTCAAAGCGTTATGCTAATTGCTTAAGCGAATGCCTTACAGGATATAGGCCTGTAGGTTCCTTGTGTTACTGCTAACTTGAATCCTAAGCTAGCTCTATGGGTGACACCTCCACACAAAAAATGCCACCCACCTGCCTCAACAGAGGGGGATCTTGATGGGCCATCGGTGAAAGGGGACAGGCCCACCAGCGAGGAAGGGGGGCTGTGGCACTTCTTTTGGCTCCATTCCAGGCGGGAGCTTTTTGCTTTCCTCGCAGCACCTTCAAGCCACAGTGGTTCAGTAGGAATGTGCTCAATACCTAACTGAGGTACTTGGGTTGAGTTGTTTATTTGTTGCAACTTGCAGCCAGTTTCCAGTGCGGTTAAGAGAATAAAATGAATGGTTCCCAGAGGTAAAAGACCTGGTGATGGGCCTTGGGCTCATGGGATGGGGTGAGACCCTGTGCCCTTTGCAAGCTGAGGTCCCCACTCTTCTGCACCCTCCGTCTCCTTCATGGGGTAGGGGGAGGGTCTAGGACTCAGAGACAGCTGAATCCTGCCAGATAGGTAGAGGAAACCCGTAACTTGGGGTAGGTTTATATGGTAACAAGTCCTGTAACCCCTACACTGGAACAAATTAAATGCCTGGTACAGGACAGCATGGGTAATGGGTGATTAGTGTCCCCCTCCCCTGTGTTAAAGTTTAATAAAAGTTGTGACTTTCCTCTTAATTCCATGTATGTGTCTGTCTTTTTGCAGCTGTGTCCACATCAACAAAATATGGATCCGTCATACTATTTCTTTCCTTATTTAAACCTCTCAATGCCGCAATGCAAGCAAGCGGGTTACTCTAGCTTAGGTCCAAGATATAATGTAGATGAGCGATTGGGCATTTCAAAGAGATCCCAATGTTATAGGAACCCAGGGAAACATCAGACACAGGGTGCAAAATTTCACTAATTGTGATTTTTTACAGTCTTAGAGTAAGTGGATTCTGCCTTTGCTGGTTTTGGCACATGTAGAAAATTCATGTGAGATCTGCTGTTTAAGAAGGGAGTTGAAAATCAAGAGCAATGATTGGAAATAAGCTTCAACTCTCAGTATAACCTTAATTATCAGGAGCACAATTTTATTGTACTGGTCAAATAAAATTATAAACAATGCAGTAACAGAGCGCAGATAAGAGATGTTAGTTATCCACAAAGCTTTTGTTCTCTACATTTTGCAATTAATTTAGGATTGCATGAGACTTTGGCCCTGTTGACATCTCAACTAAGACCTGATTCAAATCACAAAGAAGAAATGGGATTCCTTAGAGATGTCTTCAGTGAAAAAAGTCTAAGTTATCTAATGAAGGTAAATGTTTATTTCACAAAATTTCCTTTTCTTTGTGTTCTGTATTTTTCAGTATTCTTAATTTCTTTGCCACATTGTGTTACTAAGGCTTACTTGTTTTTATGTAGAAGAGAAAACTGAACAGAGAAAATACATATATTAAAGTTACTTGAAAACAACAAACATGAACAGTATCCTATGAAAATTACTTTTTTGCTTGCTCTGAAATGAAATTTCTGCCTAGTTTTGAGTGAATGTCATTTTGAAGCTGGAGAAAGCTGCCATCACTAAGAATCAGAAGGGGGGATTCTCTTGTTACATAATTGATAAAATAATAATTTTCTCTATTTGGAGAATTTTTTACTGTCAATTAACTAATTGATAAATGCAAGTATCAGTGCCCAGTAATGAAAACATTTTAGAGTGCAATAATCAGAATTTTCCTTTAAACCACGGAACCTCAATCATAGGCGTCAACTTCTCCTGGCGCCGGTGGGTGCTGGACCACCCCCGGCCCGACTCCACCCCTGCCCTGCCTCCATTCCAACCCCTTCCCCAAAGTTCCTGCCCCAACTCTGCCCCCTCCCTGCCCCATTGGACTCCTTCCCCAAATCCCCGCCCCGGCCCCACCTTTTCCCTGCCTCCTTCCCTGAGCCTGCCATGTTCCCACTCCTCCCTCCTCCCTCCCACAGCTTGTTAGGTCGCGAAACAGCTGTTTCATGGCAGCAAGGGCTGGGAGGAGAAGCAGGGACACAGTGCGCTCAGGGGTGGAGGCGGAGGTGAACTGGGGTGGGGAGCTTGGCTGCTGGTGGATGCAGAGCACCCACCAGTTTTTCCCTGTGAGTGCTCCAGCCCCGGAGCACTTATGGAGTCAGTGCCTATGACATCAATTTCACAAGATATTCTCCCATCTACAGAACCAACAGCAGCAAAAATATGAGCAGGACTATTCTGCTCTTGACATGGATCATTTATTAACACAGAGGTCCCCACACTGTGGGGTGTGCCCCCCTTAGGGGGCATGGGCCAGCCCCCATGGGGGACGGGGAGGGAATTCCACCCCAGTTACGGCTCTGGCTCCTGGCCTCGTCCCCAGCCTTGGCCCCTGGGCATGTCTCCGTTCTCAGCCCCAGCCCCGCTCCCTACTGTGGCCCAAGCCTTTGCCCCCTTACCCCTGTCCATGGCCCCCTCCTTGGGAGCTGCAGCCCCGGCTCCTGGGGAGGTGGTGGACAGGGCTAATGGGGGCAAGACCACTGCATTAACACTTACAATATTTGACAAAAGAATGTGCCCTTTTGATATAAAAATATGTCTCATGGATGTGGAGGCAGAGACCACCCCCGGCCCGACTCCACCCCTGCCCTATGGAGAACTCTGTTTTTCTCCGACAAGGACTAATAAAAAGTGTCCAGAAGACTAATTTGGAGAGTACCACTATAGAATTAGTAATGACAGTTAACACACTAGTAATATTAGAATGTTCATTTAAATCCTTTTCTTTGCTGATTTGGCATCATCACTGATGAGTATATCCACCAAAGTAGTGATTTGATCCTGTGTAAGTCTGATCAGTGAGGTCTGAATATGGGCAGAGTACTAACACTCAGGTATTAGATGATTATTTAACGCAAAAGATCAAAGACATTAATCAAGTCTTCTTTTTCTTCCTCCAAGCTACACTGCGGGGAAGATTCTTTCAGAGGCATAAGGGATTTAGGAGCACAAGTTGGGCTTTGTGCTCCTAAAACCCTCTGGCACCTTTGAAAATCTCCCATGCATTAGTTGCCTTGATGATATTTCCTTTGGACATAGAGCCTTCTGGTTTCAGCAATAGGACTTTCAGCTAATGACCTTCAATACATTGCAGTATCAAAAAAATCAGGAATTCTTGACCTTTGTAGTCACTTACCTGAAAACACCTGTGTTTCAGATTCATGAAAAGCTCCGCCATTATGAAAGACAGAGTCCAACCCCTGTTTTACATAGTGCAGCAGCTTTAGCCGAGGACGTAAGTATGTTTGTCCAGTAAATTCTTTTTGATGTCAGATTTGTAAGTTACATACTAAAGAACGGAAAGTCTCCAACTGAAGTTACTCTTGCGTGGACTAAACTAAAACACAGCTCACATATTAAAAAAAAAAGCTAGAACCCACTCCCTCAGATGCATGGAGTGGAAAATACAGGAGCAGGTATAAATACATGAAAGGATGGGAGTTGCCTTACCAACTGTGAGGTAAGGGTATAAACGCTGAAGAGAATGGAGAAACATCATAGCCTACATCTTTCTGGCTTAGGAGAATGTGATAGAACGCATCTGTACCCATTTATAATTGATCAGGAATGTCACTCTTCAGTGATACATGAAGTTGATCTCTAGGGCAGGAGTTCTGAACCCCTCCCTCCAACATGCAATAAAAACTCCACAGCCCACCTGTGCCACAACAACTGTTTTTCTGCATATAAAAGCCAGGGCCGGCATTAGGAAGTAGCAAGCAGGGCAGCTGTTCGAGGCCCCAAACCACAGGGGGCACCGTGAAGCTAAGTTGCTCAGGCTTTGGCTTCAGCCCTAGCCCTGGGTGGTGGGATTCAGGGCCCTGGGCTGCAGTCCTGTGCGATGGGGCTTTGGCTTTCTGCCCTGGGCCCCTGCGAGTCTAATGCTGGCCATGCTGGCCATGCTTGGTGGCCCCACTGAAACCTGCTCATGGCCCCCCCAGCGGGCCCCAGGCTCCTGGTTGAGAACCACTGCTCTAGGGGATGTCATCATGTATTGGAAAGCCTGGAAGTATTTGGAATATTTGAAATTGTTTATCAGATCCCCATGAGAATGTACTAGTCAAGGCTAGTTAATCAACTTAGAGTTTAGTGTTGGTGTATTTGTTTAGGGTTTGCATCTAAAGGCCTCAATTTCTGTCCGCATTCAGGCACTACTATAATATACACATAATAAAGCAGGTTAGAGACATACATCTCCTTCAGGATACATGCATATTTTATTGAGATTGCCTTTAAATGCATATTTCAGTTACTGTTGCTTCTTTGAAATAGGACACAGAAATTAACAAACATTGACCAGAAATCCAGTTGCAAATATATTGCCTTACGTTCTTTTGTTAATACTTTTTAAGGTAATTGAAGAGTTGCAGACTACACCAGTGAATAATGAAGAAAAAGAGCTGCTTCAGCTATTGTCAACACCACACCTTAGGGTAAAACCCATACTCCTAAGCAATGCAAGTCTCAGCATGATTCCCTGACAGAAAACATTGTTAAGAGCAAGTTACAACTAAGATTACCTAAGAGGAGGGGGAGACCCCAAATATGCTTCCTAAGGATTGCAGGACAGGGGTTCTATTCCTACACATTTTAAGAGGTGTGCAGAATCTGTCTCCTCCTGCAGATCAAGTTGACCAGGGGTTTGTGGCATGTGGGGCTCTGTGGCAGGGCACCGGCACGGCGCCATCTGATGAATTAGCTCTTCCAGCCTAGAGCACCCTCTGCAGGCCAGCGTCCCGCCTGCCACTGGCCCCCGTGTCCTTTTACACTGGGGTTCTGCCCCCAGCAGTAACCCACAATCTGGGTCACCCCAACCCTCTATCCCCACCTTGCCTTAGTGGCTACTGCCAGTCATCATCTAGCCCCCACTTATTGGGGCAGATGCAATCTGTAAACCACTCATCATCGGCAAGGGGGTTAGGACCTGCTGCCTTTGCCTATCTCTGGGCTGCCTCTTTGCAGCCCCAGTACCTATTTTGGCCTTTTAGCAAGGCCTGCAGTTTTACCAGGCTGGAGCTCCCCAGCTCCCTCTGCCCTTCCCCAGCACTGCTCCACCTCAGGTACCCTTCTCAGCTCCCAGGCAGCCAGGTCCTTCTCTCTTTTATAGAGCCGGGCGTGGCCCCAGCTGTGGCTGTTTCCCCAATCAGCCTAGCCTTTTCTCTCAGCCCCTGCCCTCTCCAAGGGCTGGCTTTTAACCCCTTCTTAGCTACAGGCTCCTAATGCAGAAAGGGGCATTATCCTTTCCTCCTACATATTTTCTAAGGTGGGAGAAGAGACCATTGTCTCCATCTTACTGCCCCCACCGGCCCGCTGCTCACTATAATCCATCCCCACCACCACACTGCAGACCTCTTAAATATGAAGCCTGTTTGGCCTCGCTTTGTTAATCCATGGAATTAATTATGGCTCATGACTGTTCTGAAGAACTTATTTTAACTTATTTGTTTCAGTCAGTGCAGGATCCCTGGAGCTGCGGGAGAGGATCAATTAGATCACCAGAGCCCATGCGCAATTTGGGAGAGTCAGTTTAAAATCTTAGTTACTTTAAAAATTGGACTGTGAGCAACAAAACTTTGGTTCTATGCATTAGCTCTTGAGTAGATGAGAAATAGCATAGTTTACTGGGCTCTTCTACCATTTGTTTTGTTTTTGACAGAGTTGCAAAAATAAGTTAGAGACATGACCATGAGGCTCCACAGATTTTTCTATTTGGGTTGCTATTATTCAAGAATCCCTTCTCCAATTTACTTCAATTTGTTGAAAAGTTATGTTACAGGCCCAGCTGTAACCTATTAATTTGGGGGGCGGGGGCTGATGGATTTTATTTGGCTGCTCGATAATCATAGGACAGCAGTAATTAAATATTATAAATATAGATTTTGCACTTACAAAGCACCTTCCTTCCCTTTCAAGATTGCAAAATATTTGACAAATGTTAACTCAATTGGACTTCTTTGGGAGCTAGTTGAGACATTTTGGCCATGAATCAAAATATAGCAAACTATATTTAAACCTTTTAACTAAACAACTAGGCTAAAAACATGTTATAGAACAAAGGGAACCCAAAAATCAAACTAAAGCCCTTGTTCCAGACAATTTTGTTGTTTCATATGCTATTTAAAAAACAAAAAGAAGAAGAAAATGTAGCCATAGAACGTGATATAATATACCAGTAGACTCTCCATGAAGTTTTATGGTTGGTTGTCATCTAAGCTTCCAAATACCCATTATGTGAAATATTTATTGATGTAAGACAAACACTGCAATGCAGTCTTTCCAATTTATTTTCTCTAATGCTAAATGCCTCTGTGGCTAGATCATTCCAGGGAAGAGCAAATGACTGGTGCAGATGAAAAGTGTAAAGGATTTGCCTGCAAAAAAGGCAAAGCATTATTCTACACAAAAATCTGCACAAGCAAGATCATTTTAAAGGGTGACTTGAAGAAACAGTTAAGTGCTTTCTTTATCATTCCTCACTTTCAATTAGTGCATGATCCTGTTCCTACTGATGTCCATAATAAAACTCCCATTGACGTCAGAGGTACAGGATCAGGCCCTTAAAGATGAAGGAAAGAGGAAATATTCAGGATTCTCTCTTTGAGTATGCAGGTGTCTTTTTAACATCAATTGGATCTTTAGCTTCCTTTTTCACTAACGCAGGCAGAGCAGAAACTCATTACATTAGCTGTGAACCTTTGCACTGTTTTAGACAAGAAATAGTTGATGCTTGCCAAGAAAACAGGATATGGATTTTCACCAGAGTAGATAGGCTCTTTTTGCACTGGCTCTTATGTCTGGAAGAAGAGAAATGGCATCCTTCTCAATTTTGCCTGAACTATTTTAATCTTTTAATTTTTTCTTATTGTACAGGCAATGCTTGTAGTACATGATACTGTTGCCCAGAAGAACTTTGACCCGGTCCTTCCCCCTCTGCCAGACAATATTGATGATGATTTTGATGAAGAATCAGTTAAAATTGTTCGTCTAGTGAAGAATAAAGAGCCTTTGGTATGTATAAGAGACTCCGTCTCTAGTCAAAGAGTGGTCTCACCCTTAGGGTACATCTACACTGCACGCTCCTTTCTGCAGCGTGTAGAGTACATAAACTACACACACCCTTAACATGAGTATAAATAGCAGTATAGACAGTGAGGCACTGCTTAAGCTAGTAGGGTAAAGACGCTCCTGAACCCTGTGGGTACGTACCTGGGTACAGCCCTACAGGGCTTTCTATTCTTTCTGTCTCCCCATCTACACTGCTATTTTTAGCATTGTAGTGACCCACTGCTGAAGTCTTTCCCCAGCACAGGGAAAGACTTCTGCAACAGGGAGCTGCTGGGGCCTTTTCCTGCCACAGGGAAAGACTCTGCTCAAGCAGCGCCCTGTTGCAGGAGCCTTTCCTTGGGGAAGGGGAAGGCTCTGGTAGCTTCCTACTGCTGTCCAGTATCTTTCTGCAGCAGGAGTTTTTCTCTGAGGTGAGAAAACAGGAGTGAATTTCATTCTAAGCAAATAAAGGCTGTTCCATACATGTTTACATGGCTTATGCAGCTATTGAATTTGGCCATCTCCTAAGGTGTGCATGAAGCAATGCTCATATGAAACTGTCTCATTCAGTGTACTTTGGCAACTGAAAACGTACACAGCATAACACACTAAGCTCTTTCTTCATTTCTATAAAGTTCATTCAGTAAGTCCTTGTATCCTGGAGTTTACACTGTGTAGTACAGGGTCTGACTAAATATTTCAAATTTAAATTTTTTCTTAAAAAAACACAAACCAGGAAATTCCAATGTTTTTTTTTTTTAAAAAGCTATATTAAAAAGTTCAAAAGCCAAAGTTAAGGTTATGCATTCAACCTCAATTCTTCTCCTTGTGCTTCTGGATTACAAAACAGTCAATTATATACTATTTCCCAAATACAATATAAATACAATTTTCTACTGTCGTAGGGGACACACCTTGTAAGGTGCGCATTGATTGAGACAGGGCCCTATCTTAAATTTAAGAAAGAAAATGTATTGTACAGTTTTTAAAGATTTCCAAATTACTTTGGCTTTTTTAGGGATAAGCAAATCCCATAAAATAAGTAAATATCCTCCATAATCTGTACAAACCTGCAGTAAAATACTCAGAATAACATTGTCTCTTCTGTATGTTGTTTTATTTAATTTTTTTAAACAGTGACTTTTTTACTGTACGATAAGTAAGACTCCTAGAATCATAGGAGCGGAAGGGACCTTGAGAGGTCATCTAGTCCAGTCCCCAGCACTCAAGGCAGGACTAAGTATTATCTACACCATTTCTGACAGGTGTTGTCTAACCTGCTCTTAAAAATCTCCCATGATGGAGGTTCCACAACCTCCCTAGGCAATTTATTCCAGTGCTTAACCACCCTGACAGGAAGTTTTTCCTAATGTCCAACCTAAACCGCCTTGCTGCAATTTAAAGACCATTGCTTCTTGTCCTAGTCTCAGATTAAGGAGAACCATTTTTTCTCCCTCCTCCTTTTAACAACCTTTTATGTACATGAGAATTGTCCCACCTTCGTCTTATCTCGTCCAGATTAAACAAGCCCAAATTTTTTCAAACTTTCCTCATAGGTCATGTTTTCTAGACCTTTAACCATTTGTATTGCTCTTCTCTGGACTCTTCCAATTCAGCCACATCTTTCCTGAAATGTGGTGCCCAGAACTGGACACAATACTCCAGTTGAGGCCTAATCAGCACAGAATAGAGTGGTAGAAGGGATTGCAGACGTACTCACCCATCTGATTATCACATAAAAGCAGTGTCCAAACACAAGTTGGGTTGATGGCAAAATTAGTTACAGAAGAAGACAAAATGTACTTATTGTCTTCCCCTTAGGAAAAGAACAAATTCAAATTTTCAAAATTTAATCAGATTTTTCATTATTTTGCCATTAAATGTACTCTAAATAAGTGCTTTAGCTTGTTTTTTTATTTATGTTTCAGGGTGCCACCATCAGAAGGGATGAGCATACAGGAGCTGTGATTGTAGCGAGAATCATGAGAGGTGGTGCAGCTGACCGCAGTGGTAGGTTTCTGAATAAAAGCAGTTTCAAAATACAATTTATAAACTACATTTTATAACTTGTAAAAAGTTCTAATAATTTCTAATGAAATCCTATGGTTACTCACCAGCAAAGCTAGCTCTTTGAATACTGATGTTTACCCTACAGATATCCAAATAAATGCTATACAGCACGTCTCCAGTCTCCAAAGGGTTAATTCCTAATATATTTGACCTTGCACCACTTAGAGGCAGCTCTATTAGAATTTATTAAACGAGCTGAATTGGGCTTGCATGGAGATTTTATACATAGCAAATAAAGTATTGAAGTGTCATTAATTTTTGTTATAATTTGTCCTTTTTAATCCAATAGTAATACAATCCCAATGCTAATGTATTACTATGATGAAGAAATATTAGTACATTATAGCTTTCTTCTAGTCTCTTATTAGCATTTTTCATATTAAAATAATCTGATAAGACGTTTATTGTGAAGGGGCTAAAACAGTGCCATTAGCATTTCCGCTTCACATCAATAATGCACCTTTTAAATCCGATTCTCTGGTAATATGGTTAATAGGATAAAAACTGCCAATAGAATGAGGAAGACTAGTCTTAAATTTTGACTTAAACAAAATTGCAAGGTGGTCTTTTTTTTTTTT